TTTCGCGCACTCGACACGCACGATCTCCGCAGAGGGTTGCGCGCGCAGCCGGCAAATCGCACTCTCGCCTGCATTTCGCGCACTCGACGCGCACGATCTCCGCAGAGGGTTGCGCGGGCAGCCGGCAAATCGCACTCTCGCCTGTATTTCGCGCACTCGACACGCACGATCTCCGCAGAGGGTTGCGCGCGGACCGGACAAATCGCACTCTCGCCTGCATTTCGCGCACTCGACACGCACGATCTCCGCAGAGGGTTGCACTTTCGGTTGACGCTGTTCGTCCCGCCCTCCGCCTTTAAGAGAGAATTTATAAAGTGGGGAAATGTTTTTCATTAGGACATCTCCCGCGCTAGTTTTCCATACTCACACTTGCCTACTCATTGCATGCTTGCATAGTCATTGCATGCTTGCATACTCACGGTTGCATATCATGCTTGCATACTTACACTTGCATACTTTGACACTGGCATACTTCGCACTTGGATGCTTTCGCTCTTCCAGTGTGTGTGTGTAAGTGTGAGTGTCGAAGTCTAAGTGTCGAAGTGTCAGTGTTCAAAGGATTTTCCGGAAGAACCCTTCGCAATGCTTTCGGGAAAAAGAAAATCTGTGTCAAACATCGGTATAATATTGACAGTACTTATAAACAATATGAGCTTAAGCTACTAATGTGTTTCTGACTCATCAAGGCATCTCAGCGTTGCTGCATGCCTTGATGGTGCTGGCTCTTTGCATGTGTCGGTGGTGCCGGGCCAACGCCAAGGCTCTGAAGGCCACAGACCTACAAAAACAAAAAATGATCAACAACATAAATAAACAACACAATCATGCGCGATCCTGCTCCCCCAAAGCCTGGTCATGTTGCCCGTCTCTGGGCGCCCACCAATCTGCGCAAGGTTTGAAGCAAGATCCTGAATGGCAAGTGATCCATGAAGCGATGAAAGCATTGGGCTCATTTACTCAGCCGCCTGGCTGCACAGTGATACTACCGCATGTCACTGTTTCTCTCTTGACTCCAGCACACTTCTCTTCCTCCCAAAGAGTCGAGGCCTTCTCTGCCGGAATGCTGTCTGGGCTGAGTGCAAAGGACACTGCTTTCCTGGAGAACACGTGAGCAAAAGCGACAGGCAGCAAAGTTGAAATTCACGTGCTTTGCCTGTATGTTGACGGTCTTACACCATGATGTTCCAACGATTCCTGACCATCACGTGTGCACCATTAGAGGGGAGATTGTTTGCTTTTAGAGGCTCACATGTCGCGCTCTCAGTGCACCGTTTGGTCTCGTGCACCTGACATGCCACTAATGCAAAAGCAAGCCAAGCTTCCGAATCAGCGTGGATGGTGCAACCTCACCGTCTTCGAACAGATTGTGGAGATTGTCTCTGCCCCTCGGCATGTTCGTAAACATGGCACGTCCCACATGGCTAGGTCGGTGACATCTCTCCCTCTCCAAGCAACCAGAGGTTTCATAGTCATGCTGCATGCTGCTCTATTTGAACAAAGCTGCAAACATTGAAAAGGATGTTGAGCACCTTTGATGGGCCTCTTTATCTTAAACTGGGTTGTTGCCCTAAAGTGTTGTTATGATTAGAACAAATCAACTCAAAATGTCGCAGTGCCTCGTAAAACGCTCCAGGAGCTTTCTATCCAGCGCATCCAAGAAATGCCTGGTGGCTCGCTCAGTCGGGGACAGCTCCTCAGCGTGACAAGCTGAGACAGCAACAAGCAATAGAAGCAGCTTCAAGCAGCTACGTCATAGCTATGATTCCTGACCTCTATATAAACACAGCATGCTAAATTGCAGACCAAACACGGAATCTGGCTTCAACATGAAGCAATCAGACACGCATGCTTCATCGTAGCTGGCTTTGGCCTCCCCGGTTGAAGCGTGCAAAAGGCACTAGCACTCACACACCACCCTCAACTTCAGCCAGCTGGAACCGCCTTCGAGAGGATTTTGTCTAGCTGGTACACCTTGGCATGAAGCCAGGCAGTTGACGTAGTGGAAATTAAATCAGCGTGACCAAGAATTTTGCGTGACATCAGCATAACAAGGCATAGCCACGAACCTTTTGAACATGAGGACGCTACCGGTGCAGTTCATTCATTCAGAGCTTGCACTGAGATTTGAAACGGTGCCTCTGTGACGGCTTGGAGCCGAAAATCCAAGTGGCCAAAGTTCCTTTCACACTGGTCTCTTTGGATGCCAGTTAGGCGTGGCCTTCCCAACTGCCATGTACAGGACATTGAAACAAGAAACCCTTCCAGAGAAGCTTCCCTGGTAGGTCAAGACCGCGCAAGAATGAAGCACCTCCGGCTGAGCCTCTTCACAGAGATTCCTTGAGAAGAAAATCAATCGAGTACCATCTTGCCGGAGTCTCGATCTAAGAAATCGCCTCGAGGCTCCAAGTTGCCGGAGGTGTCAAAGAGCAAGGCCTGGCTGAAACGTGTTGAAGCATTGAATTTGAAAGCAAGTTGTAACACCTGAAACTAGCACATCTCGAGTTTTGAGGGCGCCCAAATCCGAGAGGGTTTTGTTTAGCCAGGTCACTTAATACGGGCTCCAGCAGCCCGCCAGAGATCCCCCAACCCACGAGTGGACATTCTGTATCTTGTACAGTGATGTTGTTCAACACGCGAAACGCATGAGTTGTGTCCTTGCTCCTAGTAGCTTCTTGTTCCTAGTAGTAAGGCCAGGAGCTACTAGTAGCGTCCTTGCTACTGATAGCGATGCCCTTTGTTCCTAGTAGCGTCCCCTTGTTGCTAGGAACGTGGAATGGTCATGAAGGCACTGGATTTCCCAAACGCCATGAAACGCTGTCATGGGGATCCTAAGCTATTCCGCCACAGAGGAGTATTTCCAACAAGCCAGTCAAACCAGTCACATCAGTTCTTTCTAACTCAGTCAAGAAACGGATCCCTCAGCCACAAAGATCTTAATCTTCTTTCTCATCAGCACACTCCAAGACGAGCTGAAACTGACCGTAATTGATTTCCAAAACAGCGTACCTGGCGTTCGAAATTGGCGCTGTTAATGCTGACTCTCTCTATATGAATGTTTGAATATTTGTACATAATTGTACATACATATCATATATTTTACTTGATCATATGATTTCACTAGAAAATGGGAAGTTGTATGAAGTTGTTAGTGTGCGCGTTATCTTTGTGCGCGTTGGTCTTGACCTTTGGGTCATCTCTCCACTACTGACAAACAAGTATGGGAGATCGCGCAAAAAAACACAAGAAAGGTGTGAGGTTGCCACATATCTGCCATCGAACAAAACGATGAACAATGGACTCAACAACTCCGAGGATACGTGTGATAGAACGGCAAAATGGGCTCCGGAACTCAGTGTAGGAGATGACCTTTCCATTGAGCACGCTGCTCTTCATGAACTCTCCCGCTGGTCAAGATCTCTCTTGGATCTTCACGCACACCTGGCTGCCCGTCACTTCTCAATCATTCATTCACCACACGCTTGCAGATTGGATTGCCGAAAGCAAACCACTCCCAAGCAGAAGATCAATACATTGCAGTCGGAGTCTTCTTCATCATCGCACTTATCAGCGGGATCTCGACATCTGCTGATTCCGTGAATACAGCATTTATAACAAATCATCCTGGGGTGCCTGGCTTGACAAGAACTCGAACGCTATCCGCCTGTTCGCACCCAGCCCCTTCACCACGATGGCCACGGCAGCGTTATCGCGCGCGGACACAGGTACTGCTGCGGCATGATCGTCAGCGGCCAAGTAAGACGACGGTGGTGGTGATGGTGGTGCTGCTGCTGCTGGTTTCGGTGCTTCCAAGCCGGGGGAGTTTAGAATGAGCTCACAGTCTTGAACGGCCAAGGAGCCTTGCCACCAAGCAAGTGTTGGCGATGATACTTTACCGAAGACGTGTTCGTTTTCTTCTCTTTGCATCTTCTCATTGTCGCAAAGGTCACCTACGCCAGGGTCGAGTTCCAACTACGAGGAACATGTTTGATGGTCTTTGACGGTCTTAGCTACAATTACAAGCTCAAAGAAAAGAACTCTATCATCCCAGGTCCACAGAAAACCGAATATATATCAAAATATCCAAAGAGCACCCCATCCCCACCGCGAAAATGAGCAACACAGAGTCCAAAACAACCACATGAGAATGAGAACATCAATTTTGTACATCGTCGCCTGTTCTGCGCACCGCTGCTGTAAATAACCTTTCTCCAACTCCAACAACTCGTTCGCATTCTCCAACTCCTCCACACTTGGCTGCAGGCATCAGCCGAACATCATGCCCACCTCTTGTTCTGCTAACTGAGAGGAGATATACCAACAAGGAAATAAAGAACGTATGAGAATGTAATTGTTTGCAACATGTCCGTGCTTGTCTGTGTACTCCACTGGTGTGTTACACTGCTTTGCCTTGAGCCAGCTGCATCGCCATGGCATTTGCATTGGCACGCTGTCTTTTTCAAATATGAAAACAAACCGAGCAAATTCTGATTGCCACCGAGCGGCTGAGATCTCTGGTGTAGCATCAGTTTTGAGCATGGTGCGGAAACATCTCTCGAGTTCCTCGCATCTCAACTCCAGGCCTGTTGCTTCTACTTGCAACCGCCCAACACGACTATATAAGTCCTTTGAGCAGAAACGGGTATCCGTACCTGGAAAGGACGGCCTTGTTAGCCTTGTTGGCAAAGGTCCATGAACCACAACAACGAATTGTTCATCGTAATAGACCTGCTGTCCATTTTAGTCTTGCACTGAAAACACCTACTCACACTGATTGATCTCACATTTTTCTCCTCGACAGTTATCAAATTCCCTTGGCCCGGGGGCGAAGCAATCCTCAGCACACGGCGGAGCCACCATGGTTGCCAGCCCCCAATCTGAATAAAGTCAAACATCTGTTTCAAGTTGATGTGTGAGAGCAGCTTTGCTGGAACCGTGAGTGAAATTTGCATCAAAGCTGCTCCAGAACTTCAGTAGCACCTGGGTTCAAACATGCTCCGATGAGGAACATTTTTTTTCTGTGACATGATCCAGATTCAGATCAAATGTCCGCATCTGAATCCCTCCACACCTCCCCTCCTCGGCTCTTCCCGGGTCCCGATGCAACCAAAGTGCTCAGCGTGAGCCATGGCGCTAACTGCAGTTTGCGCTCACGGAGATCGCCACGCTCCTCAAACACCAACCAGCAAGTGGCACCAAGACTGTGATGAGGGGGAAAAGAAACTACTATATGGATACGTAGTACATTGCATACGCCACGTAGTAATCAACGGAAGTTTAGTTTAAAAAATCCGTAGCTACGGATAGTGAACAACTTAAATTGTCCCGGCAAGAGACCCCAAACAGCGTGTGTAAGGTCTAGAGGTGTAGTAGCAAAAAGTCTAAGAGATCTAGATACATTGGGGTCCAGAAAGGTGATGGTGAGGAAGGTGGAGATCGTGGTGATGGTCCTGAGTGAGTGAGTGAGTGAGTGAGTGAGTGAGTGAGTGAGTGAGTGGGAGAGTGGAGAGTGGAGTGTGGAGTGTAGACAGTGGAGTGTGGAGAGTGGAGTGCGCAGTGTGCAGTGTGCAGTGCGCAGTGTGGAGCGTGTGTGGAGTGTGGAGCCCGCCGGTTTTTGTCACGGACGCGCAGGAAACCAAGTGGCGGAATCCATCCGCGCTTCTGGCAAGGAGAGCACACCGTTGGAGGCCTTGCGCGCAAACGCTGCTCACACGCAAGGCATGCTGAGCTGACAGTGACAGTGACACTAACAGATTGAGAGTGAGAGCGAGAGCGAGCGAGTGAGTGTGAGAGCGAGTGTGAAGGTGAATGTGCCAACACAGGCTTGGTGTACTTATAGATAGCCTTTGGGGCTTCCAGCCGTATAGACGAGTTTGAGCCTACGCCCACACCTTCCAGTTTGGCTCCATTGAACAGAATTTGTTCAAAAGGTCGCACTAGCCCTTTATAGAAAAGGAGAGTAAACAGCTTGTCAACACCACAGACAAGTGCAGGTACGTCGACAGGATGTCTCCCATCGATATCACAAGCAAGAGTTGGTGTCTTCCCTGGCGCCTGCCCCATCTCTGCTACAGGTGCCCCCTGAGAGCCTGTACACCGCATTAAATTAAAGATTGAGAGGTTAAAAGGAGTTTTACTTAGTGGATGTGGTCTTCTCAATCGGAACAGGATGTGCGACCCCCTTCCCCCAACCCTCAAAGGCAAGCTCAGCTCACAGGTTTTCAGCGCACGAAAGCATCCTTGCCGATCCAAATAGCAGCCGCCATCACGGCGTAATGCTCTACAGTTCGCAGTCCCATAGTTTGAGGGTGTGTGTGGGCTGCTACTTTCCTCAGTTTTCGGGTTCAAGGTTCCACGTCAAAACAGCGACCGGAAAGGAAACGTGTTTTTGGACCAGGTTCTTTACTCTTCCAACCATATCCTCATCCAGCGCACACCCAATGTGCCGCGGGTTCCAATAACCCATGTCGGCCACCCTGAAAAAGAGCACCCAACCGCACAATCACAGATAAGCAACCCTATGAAACCATCAAGTCACAGATTGCGAACTGAGAAGCAAGTGCTCACTGGCATGGAGCTTGGGGTACACCGGCCATCGAAGGATATTTAGCCGAAGGGAAGATGAAGCAAGAACTCAGCTGAAAGGATGTTTTGCTTATTTTTCCTAGTCTCGACCCTTTTTGAACGGGCCAAGTTACAGCTGTAGGCATCACGAAAAGCCAAATACATTTCCTGAATCTCCTCTTTTGCAGAGTAGCTCAGAAATTTCCTGAGCTGCAGACCCATAAAACTTCACAAAGAGCAACAATGGCAAGAAGCATCCAACAAGCAATCTTGCACAAACCCATATCTTAATCAAACCTCGGCTGTTCAGCAACAATTGAATATATCCTGGAGAGCGCAATGAAGAGGTTGGCCCGGTACCTTGTGGGAGCCAAACCTTTCTAAACCAATTTTATTGGGAAACCAGGCCCCCCATAAACTCGTTTAAGCTGCACTTGATGAACATCTTGTGGGTGCTTCAGGGCCTCTTCATGAAGAATCGGTGTGATCCAGAAGATCATCATCCTTGCTGCCAAGCCCTTTAAAAATTTCTGGGACAAGTGCGTGTAGGAGGTTGGACTCACCAAGATCTTCCTATTGAAGAGCTTCTGCTTGGCACGGGCCGAATGATCTATTCCTAGGCTTGCAGCGCAGCTGTCCCAAATCTGGCAAAATTATTGAAACTGAACGGAGTCTGAAAGTTCATGTTGATTTCCACTTAGGTTCGGTTGTCCTTGCACCACCCACTATAGCTGTGCCAGAGGTTGTTTAACAAGCTCTGCTGCCCATTGTTTGTGAGTTCCAGAATGGATGACCACAAGGAATCTGGAAGGATTTGTAGATCAAAGATGTGTAATATATCGCAATATATTCCTCGGACCGGACTGCTGAAGAAGTTGCACAATAGATATAGTTCAAGCATTCAACAGTCCATAGGTAGCAAATCCACCACAATCGTTCATGCGAAAACAAAATTCGGAAAGGGTGAAAGCCCGGTATGCTGGAAACCTCAGACACACCATGGACCCGCTCGAACTCAGCTTTTGTGCCCAAAAGCCTCAGCGTGGAACCGTTACCAGTTGGTCAATTTAGGCTGAAACAAGAAAACAACATACAGTGGCCTGCACCCCTATATGTTCAGCTCAAAAGCGTGTTTCTGTGTGAGGCCTCAGGTCCATAGTGTGTGTAGAGCAAAGATTCGTCTTCCCCATCAACAAGACGCTGGACAGCGCCACAGTACGGACAGCAGTGGCGTCTTGAATAATGCCATGACCCTGAAGGGGAGCGCTCCAGAAGATACACGTTTACCTGTTTTATGCGTTTGCAATCTAGATGGAGAAGCCGAGAAAGCTTTCAAAACAACACACATATCTTGACACTCGTGCTTGCCATGCCGCGTTGTAACCCCATGGTTTCATGGATCCACTGCTGGTCACCCTGCAAGCCGCAGAAGACACCGCGCCACCCGTTTGCAAGGGAACGGCCAGCACGGACGCGCCATTCGGGGTGATGGCTGGGACTGAAGCTTTTGCCCCATGGATCTGTAGATGGCCAGGTGCCCATACCTCACTATCACTCCCTTTAATCATGACATGCTTATTCTTACATTGCACACAGGCCCGTTCCAGAGAAAAATAAGCCCAGCGCACATGGCACGGAAGCTCCACGCTATCCATTTGAGAATCAGTAGTTTTGAGGCCTTGCTAGTGTACAGGGTGTTCCTCACGCTCAACCTAGGATTTGGAGGATGGGCGGCACATTGCTGGCGAGGAATCCTGGCTGCTACATACTTCGGGCAAGCAGCAAAATCCTGTTTGATAGTGTACCAGAGGATGAGCTGCACGGGCAAATCATGGAAAATATTTCCATGTTCTGGGCACCTAAGGTGACGGGGCATAGGTTTCAATCTTTTTTCACCCCTTCACATTTGTGGGAAACAAGCAAAACTATTTCAATGAGCACCAAGGTTCTCATAACCTCTGCCCCGTCACCATACAAGCGCAGAGGTATACACTTGGCCATGTTCGGCGGAGCCTGCAGGGCAACGCCGTACCTTCACTTCTTTTTCCTTAAGGCACGACGGAAAAAACAAACAACCTCATCCCCCCAGTAAGCACGTAGGTCTGAAGCCAATCCAGCATTGTGTTCCCAATAGGTTTCCAGTTCCTGGGAGTACAAGTGTTGGCGCTGCAGGAAAAATACATCAAGTTAGTGTTGCAATTTTATTGCACCCTTTACTCTTGCCTAGCTTCCCCTGGAACTCCTGCCATGAGCGCATAGAAAAGGTGACCAGATTCATAATGAAATAGTTGAGCGAAAACTTCATGTGGGAGAAGAAGTCCCAGCTTGACAGTTTTGATGGGTGAAAACTCAGCTCTTGCCTTGGTAGTCCCGTGGAGGAATGCAGGAATGCACCAACCAGACGGTAAAAGATTTGCTTTTTGTGTAGAGCTTGAGACCGAGTGGCATTTGGGACAACCAGCCTTGGGGTCACACATGATTGGGTGAGGGCCCACATCCATCACACAAGTTGGCACAAGACCGTGCACTAAACTAGGCAAACCACTCGAAGATACGTGGTAAGCACTGACGGAAGGGCTGCTTCATGGCCCAAGCTTGGAATACACGCTCATTGCCCCAGTTCTTGGCGCTCTCAAATTTCTCCACCAAGTCCAATATGGATGGCCTCCGCTTTGCGAGTACCGTGTGTTTGGCACACATGCTTTTGGGATGTACTGCGCTGCAAACAAGTGACGGGACCAGATATTGGGGAAGCTTCCCAAATCCAAGCAATAGCTTCCGCAAACGGCTCATGGATGCCTGGGGAATTTGTCCAACATAGAATGGGATTTCTTGCTGTTCTCATGTTTGATGACCCACTGCGCCTCTCCCCTCATCACCATATCCACGAACTCGTTTGTCATTTGCTGCACTGCTCCGAAGGAAGGACGTGAAGCTGGGGCGTCACCTCCCGATAGATTCGAAGGCTGGACAGAAATCGATTGGGAGCAAAAGAATCCAGTAGTTTGGAAAGTGGTCAACAAGAGTGTCCTGTTAGCACGGCTGAAAAATAGAGAAGTGTGCTTTCCCATTTTCCCATCCCTTATGGCATAGGTAGATGACAGGCTGACAGGTGCACATCAAGGCCACGGCTCTGCCATTGCAGTACCCTGCCATGCTAACAAATGATGTTGCTGTCGACCCTAAATCGCCCCTTCACAAGGCCCCTTCAGATGTGCGCGGGCACCAGAGAATCAATCCTCCTGGCGACCAATTGTTCCACTAAGAATGTCACCTGACACCTGCATGTTGTTTTACGGCTCGGGCCTCATCGGCCTCATCGGCCTCACCCTCACCTTCGCTAGACTCCGGCCCTGGCTCTGCGACCTTGGTCTTGGATCCTGCCACGGCCTTCTCCGCCTTCTCCTTTTTCTTTTGGCCTTAACGTTCAAAGCGCCAAGATAAACACCTGGGGGATCTGATGGTTTTGGGGGCCAAGCGAGACTTGTAAGTTCTGACCAGGGCCTTCGCGGAGTCGACCAATGCTTCCAATTTCTGGCACCAAAGGCAAGTTCTACTACATTGGCGACATCGATGCTTGGCAACTCAGGACTGTGAAGAAGTTGG